TGAGTGGAAAAAATATAAAAAAGTTTTTTTTTTTTTTGATAAAAAAAGGAGTTTTTTTCTTTTTTTTTTTTTTTTTTTTACAGTGTGTATACTGAGATTAACGATTAATCGTTTCAGTTATGAACTATGTGTGCTCCCTTCCGAGTGTGATGGGTCCCTGCCGCGCCTACTTTCATCGATGGTACTTCGACCTTGGGAAGCAGACCTGTATGCCATTTATATATGGCGGCTGCCGCGGCAACCAAAACAATTTCCACTCATGGTTTGGTTGCATGTACAAGTGCATTTTCAACCGTAAGTCTGATGTGTCGGAGGCCGGTGTGGCTGAGCCATCCGCTGTCTGCCTGTCGGACTGAAAATCAATAATAAGCATCACTTTAGTTTCTCTCCAAAACCTCCTCACTGCTGAAATCATCTCACAATTTTATTTTGATTTCTCTCCGTTTGCCTGTCATGACTTGAAGGAAACCTGTTTTGCAAAATTCACATTTTGTATGTTTTTGTACTTTGTCTTAACTGCTTCTAAAAACAACCCAAGCACTTAAAAAAAACAAAAACAATACCCGCCGTTTTTTGGCAATAATTTCATGCGTTTGGTGTCTTGTTTCAAAAACCTCCAGATTACTGAGTCGCAATGCTTTGTTACCTAGCAACCCAAGCTGAACTCCAGAACGTTTGGTCAGCAGGTTTTTCTGCAGGACGCGGTTTACAATGGCTGCTGGAAAACACAAGTGTTTTGTTGTTGACTTATCATCCAGAAATCACTTGCTGCATTCTTTTTGGCTGTGCAGGAGGCTCCACTAATGCTTTTCAAAGATGTAGTATTGCATAATCACGCGTCTGTTTGCAGCCATTTTCACATTAACTTCGGGGCGTGGCCAGCAGCAGATTATTTGTATTTAAAGAGACAAGACGCTCAAAACAGGCAGAACTGAGGAGACTGAAATTATTTTTGTGCAGAAAATGTCATGAAAATGTTTTGTTTAGGCCATAGATCCATCCTAACCTGTTCAAGGTCCCATTTAGAGCCCTCAGTCTGAACAACAACAACTTAACAATTTTTACAAACCACTAAAAATTATTTCTGATTAATCTGTTCATGTTTTTCATCAAATTGTGCTTCTTATTTTGCTCCTTTTTCCTAAACAGTTTAAATGTCCTTATATGAATAAATGTCATGAGGACGAGTTGAAAAGGGATGAAACTTTCCTACATTAGGAAATTATTTGTTCTTAGTTTTATTTAAATAAGACTAAACCAAATAATGTTTTATTAGATTATTTTAAAGAAAAACATAATTATTTTATATTTAACTAATTATACATAAGAAGAATAAGAATAAGAATATATAATTAGTCAATGACTGTCTTTTATTACTGAAGTTAAACAGTTGCAAGAAAAAAACTCAGAAATTTTAATATTAATGTTAATTTCTATAGGAAAAACTTTCAAAGTTCAAAAAGTTGCAAATTTTGGCTTTTCTAGTTTATTCTAACCAATTTTTTTACTTTTAAAGTTCAGTAATTTAATTTGTTTTTCCTACAGAATTTTTGAAATTAATCTTTAATTTCTTATTTAATTGTTCACACAAGTTTTAAACTTTTGGACCTCCAGAATTTTTATTTTTATTTTTTTTTTCTAGTGTATTTCTGAGAATAATCTCCAAATTTTAGATTTTTTTTAAAAACTAATTTTCAACTTTCGGACCTCAAGTTTTTATGATTTTTTTTTTTCTCTAGAAAATTTCTGAGATTAATCTTTAAATTTCAGATTTTTTTTTAAACGCAAATTCTCAAAATTTGGACCTTAAAAATGTTTCTGATATTTGTTTTTTCTTGAAAATTTATGAGAATAATCTCAAAATTTCTGAGTTTTTGGTGGAAATTTGCTCCTTTTTCCCAGCTACTGCGCTGTTGTAGAAAACACCTGAGGAGGAAAAAAGTCGTTATATTCTTTTTTTTTTTTTTAAGGTTTTATTGGCTCTAGTGGCCTTTATTTGATAGTTAATTGACAGGAAAGTGGGAAAATGAGAGAAGGGGAAGACATGCGGCAAAGGTCGCCAGGTCGGGATTCGAACCTGCGACGGCCACATCGAGGACTAAGGCCTCCAAATGTGGGTTGTGCTTAACCCGTCCGCCACCACAGCTCCCCACGTCGTTATATTCTTAGTGGAAATGCCAGAACTCTGCTCCCGTCGCTCATCGGGTCGCAGCTCGATATTATAAATGTTTTTCTTTTTCTGCTTTTATTCAGTTCGTGCTCGCTCGTGTTTTTGTCTCCATATTCGTGTTTGCTTTCTGACATTTCTTCACGTTTCTTCGTTCGTCTTCCCACAGAGTTTATTTTTAGAAACCCACCAGGACGTTTTTGTTTTGTTGTTTCTTTATTTTCGCCTTCATCATTCCAAACGGTTCAGGAACCTTTCCAACTGAATCTTGTGACATTTATAAAAACCAGGCTGACATAAGGAGATGAAGTCGTGGCGTTCGGAGCAGGAGGCTGGAGTTGATCTTTGTTTTGATGCTGCAGTGGCATAATGAGGTTTCCCTCCTGCTGCTTTGGTGACTCCTAGTTAGCGAGGAAACTGAAGAGTAAAAACTAAAACAGGCCACCCGGTTTCACCCAGCTGTCAAACTTGGAGTCAAACCTGTCAGCTGAAAGCCGATGAGGGAAAATTGAAACGGAAAGACTGTCAGGTTCCCTCAGATATCTCAGCCTCACTGTGGGAAGAGGAACGCCGCAGAGTAACAAACCTTCCTCCTGTTTCGGCTCCTTTCTCTCCTGCTGCGCCTCGACGTTTTGTCTCCTTTCATTTGATCGTCTCACTAATTCCTACTTTCTAATAGACGACTTTCATCCTGTGGCCTGGTCCGACGATGTGGACGTCTACTTCGAAACGCCGGCGGACGACAAGGAGCACGGCCGCTTCCAGAAAGCCAAGGAGCAGCTGGAGGTCCGGCACCGGAACCGCATGGAGCGGGTGAGCGACCAGAATCTGCTCCTCCTTATTTTTTGCTTCTGCTGTTTTCCTGTTAGATATCAGAAGTTTAAAGATGCAGGCGATGCAGTGTGGAACCTTATAGAATCGTATATTAGCAAATAAAACAGCTCTGCTCGGTTCTCCTCTCATCAGTCGCTTAATTTAAACTGAATCTCTGAACCGTTTGAATAGAAAACTTTGGTTTCTGAATTTAAAATCTTTCTGAATTGAATCGTGACCCTACAAACCGGAATCCAATCGATTTGTATCTCTGGCAGCCGGACGTTGAAACGATGTGGAAACGACTGAGAACCAAACACTCTGATCTCATTAAAACGGCTTTTTTCTCCTAATTTTAAAATGTATTTCTGGTAAAATTGCATCTTTATTCTGCTAATATTATGATTATTCTTGTAGTTAAACAAATTCTCGTTACATAATATGTCGTACAAATTGCAGAAGGGATTATTGAAATAAAAGACACTTTTTGAAAATATTTTCAGTTATATGTAATTTCTTTTTTTAGAAAAGAAAGCGAGGAAAATAAAAATCTTATTTATTTTAAAAAATCTGACAACAGTTTTTATTTTCATAAATCTGTTTATTGCTTTGCAACTCACATCCAGGTCTGTCACAATAATTCAGCTAATCGCATGATTAACTAAAACAAAATCTATAATTTACATCTACATCATTTTTTGTTTCTCTTTTTTGGCCTTAAACTGGATGATAAAAGTTTTCAGCCTGATTCTTTGGTCTCAACTACCTCCTTTGTTTTCTCCACAATTCATTTTATTTGTTTTTGTAGTTTGGATATTTAAAATATCTTCCAGTTTTAGCGTTAAAAGTTAACTAAAATATGAAGTTTATTAATCTGTGAGAACGTGTTCTTGCTTTATTTATCACTTGAAAATCGTCTCAAATTAATATTATCGTTTATCGCGATATCTTTTGGGACAACTTATCGTTCAATAAATTTTGTTATCACGGCTCAAATTTACCAAACACCAAGCAAAAACAAAAAACATGAACAACATAAACCTTCAAGGTGGGCAGTAACTCTTTATTTACTTCAGCAACTTTTTTGAAAAAAATTATTTTTAGGAGTATTTTTAGTTTTACTTGAGTAAAATGTTTATATTTTTCTACCCACTGAATGAAAACCAAACATGTTTTAACCAAAAACTCACCAGACAGACACCTGCAGGTTTTATTAAAGTTTTTTATTTAAAGAAACTCATTTGGAAACATTATTTGCCTGATTTTAATTTTTTTTTTTGTTACTTAAATGAATTATTGTCATTTTGGTCCAAAATTTCCACTTAACTTTGTAT